ATTTGGGATTGACTCTTGAATTTTGAAGAGTCGAAATAGGATGAACGGATCATATAAACCCGAAGGCAAATATAATACAAGCCCAAACGAAAAAATATAAACAAGTCTAAATTGAAAACAACGTTCAAACCTATGATTGCGTTGGATAAAAACCGCAATTTTTATACGTGTGCATGCAAAACAAATTTCTTGGTAGAGGGGTCTAAATACAGCACAAACAACATTTTCCAAAAGACCAAAAAGTGAAAAAGTATATTTTAACAAAACGCATTTGACTAGCAGGTCATATATATATATATATATATACATGTGTGTGTCTTCAAAAGAAGGACGACAATTGTTTATTCAATTGTCCTGTGTCTATAAAAGTTGTGAATAAATGTAGCAGAAATATCTTAAATATCTTTTGTCGCAGAATGCGAGACTTAGGGATTACAAATAGCATGATCAAGCAGCAGTGTATACCATGTATGTCATATGTTTATTGTCTTTGACCTCATTTCTATGGTTGACTGCTTGAAAAAACATTATGCTTTTTTTCCCAATTGAAATACTTACTTATTATGAGGAATAAATAAAGGATACATAAATGTTCACTTGACCTCGACCTCCTTTTATGGATCAGTGACCAACATTCAGTTTACGTGGTCAAGTCAGTATCGCGGAAACAATACGTAAAAGGGCAACAATATTTGATGTATGGACTAATTGTAAGGTTATTGTACATATGTCCGACTGGTAGTTTTCATTTGACCTTGACCTCTTTTTTATGGTTCAATATACCATATTTAGTTTTTGTGGTTTTGTCTATTTCTCAGATTTACTCTAGCAATAGGGCCTCTATATCTGGTGTACAGAATGATTGTAAGGTGAACATATCCGGCTGGCATTTGACAACATTTATTTTTTATCGTTTGGGCTATTTTTCAAATACTTTAAGTTTTATATGACCTATACCTCATTTTCATGGTTCATTTGTCAATGCTAATTTTTCATGTTTTTTTCAGTTTATTAGATACTATTAGCAATAGGTCAAAAAATAAATTTGGTGTATGGAATGATAGGTATATATTTTACATGTACATGCTTATCTGACAGGGTTCATATAAACGTGACCTCATTTTCATGGTTCATTTGTAAATGTTAACTTTTGGTTTGGTCTGTTTTCAAGTTACTTTATGCAATAGGATAACTATATTTGGTGTATTGAACATGATGGAATGGTTGTCAGGTGAAAATGACATGGTTCATCTGACCTTGACCTCATTTTTATTGATCACTTTATTTATCTAGATCAAAAGATTATCAAAAGGAACATACAAGAAAAAATAATAAAATGTAGTTCTATTTATGACGTTTTGCTTGGATGTCTTCCTTTGAAGGAAAGCGTCCAGCTAAAGAGCAGTAAATAACATCAAGTAGTTTGACTGATAGACCAAGATGGTTATTTGGTACATGAATCTAATACAGCATGGGGGTACGCGTATCCCCTACAGCATGGGAATAATATACTCAAAATACATGTACTATAATCCCCCAGTCTACGATTAAGCTATCAGAGACAGCATGTAGAATTTGATATTATATTATGAAACCTTATAAGATGACACTTCTTTGAGCTCATAACGATATCAAATCTAAACTATAGTCCTTCTTAAAATTACATATTATTATTAGGCTGAAGAATAATGCATCAAGTTGATATATGATGTAAAGTATCCTACATTGTCTAGCTATATAGGTTCAGCAATCTGAAGGAATTCTGCAACGCCCGTTTGTAATTTGTTATAGTGATAGAGATGTCGGTTGCTTTTAGAAAGGGTTTTAACCATACTATAAATCCTTACAGTATCCACAAAATGAATATGAACAGTTAGGGAAACACAAAATAAATACTAATAAAACAAACACAAAAAAGGGAAAGTGGTTGAGAGTTCATTGGTACATACACGTTGTGTTTACTTGACCACTATTTGTAGTAAAAAAAAATTTCAAATTATTACTTCCTTCACTGATTAAACAATTACAAAAAATGAAAACAACACGTTATAAATTTCATTCGTCCGAATCGCTTTTCTGGATTTAACTTCATCAGGAACGCTCAAAGCCGAATATATGAAAGCCAACATTTAAAGAAACAAAACAGTTAAAGAGCTTTTTGACGAAAAAGGTCCTAAAATAGCCAAATCCATCTAAGGTCAACTTTGCCTGAGGTAGTTGAAACCTTAATGTCTTTATAATTTTAAAACTTATCAACGGGCAATTTAAGAAAGGTTTAGAAGTATGTATGTATACTGATTTTGACGTGAAACTATTAATTTTACAAAAAGTGAGCCAGTGTATTAACCTACATTTAACTGGAACAAATGTTCAGTATATTTTATAATATTCAGTAGTCAGTACTTTGCTACCGACATAATTACAACAAACGTTTCTTGCACTTATAAATCAATTACCAGTATGTATATATAGTAATTTGAACTAAAACGAATTAGTGGTTTTGCAAAAGGTAATGTACTGTATTCACCTTCTTTAATAAAAATTTATAAAGATATATTTATAATAAAGATTTTAAATTCTTCATCTGGTTTTTGACCTACATATTGCTGGGAACATGCTGTAATATACAACAAGAATAGATTTTACGAGGTTTGATAACAGGTTGAAGAAGAAGTATCTGATTTTACAAAAGATGTGTTAAGCTATATTTGGTTTTTTAGAAGCAGGTCTTTTCCACACGAAAATCAAATAATACATTTGTACCTTCCTGAATTAGAAAGGATTGATTATTGGATATCATATTTTGTAAGTTACAAAATATATGAAGATACAAAGGAGCAATCAAATGTATATGTCGAAAAAAATAAATATCAGTTATACGTCAATTTTATTATAAAAAAAACAAATGACAAAAAATATACAGAGAAGTGCAAATTTTACGGCACGAATTAACAAAAGCCGTAGATGGACAAAGGCACTGTGAAATATGAAATAGCAAATTATGTGCGTTCTTAGACCTGTCTGGATTAACCTTTATCTGTACCAATATATCAAAACGTTTTAAAACCAAAGATATATAAACAATTAATACTTGAGGAGCATTATAACCAAAGTGACACAAAATTATAGTAAAACCAGCTAAGGTCAACTTAAGGATTTGGTACCTTAGTTTCTTAATAATATCTTCATTTTCAATCCAGAATTGACGGAAGTGTTATAAATAATGTCATTTCAAAGGGCTGACTTCTGAGGTGATGATTCACTTTCGAACCAGGAATCAAATTGTGACTAATATCCCTGCTGGTTTTTGTTAATTCAAAACGACAAGAAAATATTTGAATGTTTGTTAATATAGAAATATTTTAATTAAAAAGAACACGGTGTTGTGGTTCTCGTTCTCGTTTCTATTACGGTGTCTTCCAGTCATGCAGCCTATATAACCACCGGTACTTTAAGACGAATCATTGTAGATTTATATTTTCTCGAACATTTATCCCATAGCAGCCATGATCAAAATACGAAATGTAAGATCGACAACATAATTTTACAGTTTGATGCACTGCTATATAAACAAACAGCAGTTATTCGAGTGGGAAATTATTAAGTTCCTTCAAAATAAAATGTGCGTGTAATCGTTGAGAAAAGAAAGAATAGTGGTAGTCAAAAAGAAAAATGAGTAGTTTAATATTTGATATACTAACGATGAGGTTTCAATCATTGGCCCCTATTTAACTCAACTTAAAACTTTAAGGCTAAAATGAGGTCAATAAACAGATGTTACTATTCTTGCTCATTTTCCTTAGGTAAAATTAGGTTTCGCTGTAAAGTATTCGACTGTTTCATGCTTTAAAAACATAACTGGTTCGATTTCATTGCTGCAGAACATTTCGTCCCCATAGGTATCGCCAACCCACTAGTCATGACTTTTGTGTTGACATGAAATATCATTGATACGTTCGTTTTCTGAAAATAAATTTGTCCATGGAATTGATGCACTTAAATGGAGTCAAAGTTTTAAATTTATAGTAATGTTACTCACTGACATATAAATGTATAAAGCTATCAGAAATTTAGAATTTGATCATACATTATAAAATATATCATCAAAGATACCAGGCTTATTATTTTGTATGCCAGACAACATTTCATTAAGCCTATAACTATATCAAATATTACATTCTTTAATTAGAAACAATTTCATAATAAAATCAAACTTGTGCACGAGAAAAAAAAACAAAGATACTAAGAAGCAAATACAAACTATATGTCGAGGGAAAAGACATACCAGTTATACATCAATTTGAAAATAAAAAAGGAAAATGACAAAAGCATATGCAGATAAGTATGAATTTTACTCCACATTTAAAAAAAAAATGATATACAAAAACATTTTTTTTTTATTTGTATGCATTAAATTTTGAACAAACAGTCCTTTATATAAAAGTAAATTAATACAAACCCATCCCATTTATCACTAGTTGTAAGACCGTTGTCTGTCTTTTGGTCGTTTTTCGTTTCTCGTTTCTCGATTTTTGCCGTAGCATTGTCAGTTCGTCTGTCTAAGTTTCGTTAAAATTCATTGAAGATTTGACAAAGTAATTAAAACAGAAATGTTGATCTTTTTTTTTTCTCTTCTGCAACTTTCGTCACAGGTTTGACAAAAAAGAGGGTATAAGAACCTCATATGAAACCACAAATCACCATGTCATGCACTGCAATCAAAATTTGAAAAAAAGACGTAAAAATAGCTTGCTACAAATCTTTGCTTGGACAATAGAAAAAATAAGTTCACCTCCTATTATACTATGTATATTTCACTTGCATCCATCATGGCATTGATATAAAAACAAAAGAAAATAATTTAATTGTTATCAAGTCTACACATCATAGGACAATATTAACTGTTCCTCTCCAATGATCACGATGTTAGATACGTTGTAGCTCAAAGTTAAAAGGCCACATTATTTTGATCTGATTGGTTACAAAAGCAGATCATTTTCATCATTTGTTTAATAAAGAAATTATGACATCCAACGTGTTACATGGCTTGATTTGATATATATACGTAGATCCTACAATTTTTCATTTCGAGTAAAGTTTTCAAAAATTGATATCTTGAAATGTTAAAAGCGGAAATGAAATTGAGAATTATGTTTCTCTTTTTCTGTCTTGAAACAATTCTTTTGCAAGCGACTGAGGCGACTGAAGGAGTGCAAGCGATTCAACTGTCTGAAGCAATTGAAGGTAAGCTGCTAAATTAGATTAAACCTTTTAGTAGGGTAATTGAATTAAGATTCCAAATTTCTATATTTAGTCACTAAGATAATCACTGTATAGTAGTAGTCTTAAAAACCAAACAGCCTATTCAGTTCAACCAGTGATTTTTCCTTAAAATTTTGTGTGAAGGTATTTCATGATTTGAGGAACAATATATGATGAAAAAAATTGGGGGTCACCGATTTACTTTTGTAACTATAGCAACCTCAGTTTTGTGTCTTCTCGAATATTAACATGATATTTGCTTGTTATTTAAACTCTAAAAAATCCCTTTATATCAAACCTACAAGCATAATTCTTGTTTCACGTTAAACAGTAGATTTGTGTCTATCAAATACAGGTTCAAGAGTTTAAGACTCTTATTGTTTTGATCTTTAAAAATATGGTTTATTTCATTCCCGCCAAAAATAAAACGTAAGAATGAAAAACGTTTCCAGTATTAAAAAATATCTAACAGTGATTTCTTCATAAAAATTTCAAGAAAGAAAGTGCCATGTGTACTCTATAAAATAAATTAAAAAAATTATATGTCACCGACCTTTCAAAAAAGTTATGAGTAATATTCATATTTTTTTCTAGTTCGTTTTGAAGAAAGGAGTTGTCGTTCTTCAGAACATTGAATTTGACGTCATAGTACACGTTTTCCTTGGTGGCGCACTATTTGAAAAAAAACTCAAATTGGACGTTTGAAACCCACATTTAAATTTTCCAGAATAACAACTATATTCATCTACTTTATTATCTGGTAATACAAGAGATCACATGTATGTATCAGTATCAGATCTCATGATGTTGTTGCCGCACAAAATTAACCTTCAGACAAATCACCCGTCGGAATGAAAAATTGTTCGAAATAACCTTTTACGCCGCGTTTGAAAGGAGAGTCTGTTTTGTCCTCTCCCACTCATTAGCAAAATCTTTTAAAATAAAAAGAGAAATGAAAGATTACACTGGCTAATTTACAGACTATTTGACTATATTAGACTAGATGTGTGGGCTTTTTCGTCGCGTCAGTTTCAGAAGTTTGCCCTAGCGCACTCCTTCGTCAATGTTGACAGACAGACAGACATAAGCACGGACGGACTTCTTTATACCATTATGTGTTCCGACTAAGACGAGCGTATCAAAATTATTCCGTCTAGCTTGTGGATTCATTATTTATGAATATTTAAAATATAAGGACATTAAAATTGAAGGTATAATATATGAATTAAAGTTTTGATTCTAAAACGATATACATCCATTTATCATAAAATACGATCACCGTTATTACTATACCTCACGTGTTTTGAATAAACGAGATAGTAAATATAAAATACAAATAAGTTTTTAATTCAAAAAATAATTTAGAATCTAAGAAATAATTTCCGTTGAAAACTATAAAGTATTTCTCAAAATGAAATATTATCTATCTAAATTGCTCATTTTGGCAATTAAAACAAAGACCAGGGTATAAATTGCCTGCATTGGAAATCGAAATTTGTTTCAATCTTTCCGGTCATTATAGCTTTTTGAAAGTGAGAAATTTAAGGTTGGATCTTATTCTTGAAGCAATTTTTTTTGTCATACAAGATTAGTTTTAAACATCGTAAATTCTGATTTTAATTCACATTCACTGAGTATTAATTTCTTTTATTTTTTGCCTTCAGCTTCAGTGAGATCAGGCGAAATCTTTATTATTTCTCCTTAAGACAATTTAAAATGAAACAAATGACAAAAGACAATGAACCTTTATCATTTTTATTTTTACTATAAGATTTTGTCAATGAAGCAGTATAAATAAAATTTAACTTCATTGCAAGATCAGATATTATTTTACAAGAATCATCCAGAAATAAGTTAATCTCAACATACATACGTTGCCAGCATATCGAAACTTCTCTAAAGTATTGTTTATCGGCTAAACCTTCTGAAACTCAATTTTGAAAATCTCATAAGTTCAAATTCTAAGCGTAAGTCAATAAAATTTACCAGTGTAAAGTTACACGGACGTGCGAAACTTGCGCCGATTAAAAAACATTTTCGATCTTTAATTTGCGCGGATTTGATTCTTTCATCAGTGCCTATTTTATTTTGTTATCACTAGCGCCGATACTATATTTGCTTTACGATTAAATACATGTACATACAGTAAACCTAGAATGTATATTGGTAATGTATGGATATAAACAGTGTTCCCTTATGTTTAAGATCAATTTCGTCATATTTTTCGAGAACTTCGGTTTGACACGAGAGAAAAAAAGATGGACTTGGTTGTTGGCAAGTACAACACGTAAAGAAAAGATGAAATGACGAGAAAGGAATATATCATTTGAATTGTTTTACATGACGATGGAAGTTTTAACGACCTTGACTGGCTATACAGCCCTTGCACGGTCCGTTGTTTTACATTTGTTATTTCGATGCCTTTTATAACGGACTATGCGGTATGGACTTTGCTCATTGTTGAAGGCGTACGGTAACCTATAGTTGTTAATTTCTGTGTCATTTGGTCTCTTGTGGAGAATTGTCTAATTAGCAATCATAACACCTCTTCTTTTTTATATATCAGATGTGTAGCAATACTCGGCAAGAACAGATAATAATTAATTCATTGTAATACGTTTTTATGGATTTTATTGTGGTGCTTTAAAATGCTGTAAATAGAATTTTGCTCCGTGATTTGTATTGATGTAAGCAGAATGCACAGATATCTTTTAAATTGACTTATCCTGCTCGAAATTCTACTCCAACCGCCCCTTTGTGAGCAGGGGACAACAGTTATATACATTATATAGTTGACAATTCATTATATATGTATAGCTGGATAACGGAAGAGGTTTATATCATAAATCAAAAAAATAACTTTCACCTATAATTTACATGTACACAATCGGCGCAAATGAAAGACAAAATAGGCGCAAGTGAAAGAAAAAAGTTAAATGCAGATCTGCACAAATGCAAAAAGCCGAGTTCAAAATTTATATTTCATTATTTTATTAGTACGGAAGTCACAGATGGTGTAGTATCTTTTGTGTCCATTCGTGTTTAATTTCCACTAAATATCAGCGCGACGCTTAATTCCACTTTTCTTTGAAGACGTAATTTTAAGCGAACACCATTTTAGAATCCGTGAAAAACGCGAAATAGGACGTTATAATTTGACGTTTTTTCATGGCTAGAACCAACGTCATAGAACTTTTATGTCACTACCAAGTTGCGTTAGTTGATGCGCATAAACAATAGGCTGTTTGGTCTTTAAGGCTGAAAACGTTCACCCAGAATCATCTGCTGATACATTATATATCAATAGTTAAAAGATTTAATGAATAGATAGAAAAAAAAAATAATTCTCTTGAAATCATTAGTGAAATTTCTCATATTTACTTCACTAATTTTTCAACCATCAATATTGATGGTAAAAAAAAAAACAGAAAAGAAATGACCTCTCTTTTTTTATTTTAGGTCCTAGCTGGGGATATTATCAAGGGGGTATTCGTAAGTACATCATCTTAACAACAATAAAATAATTCACAATAATTACTGATGGTAAAAATATAGATAAATGTGCATTCAAAATATCTAAAAGCCGTATGCCATTATTAGTTTCTTTTGAAAAAAAAACTAGAGATGTAATAAGACATTTAATATATATACTCATAACGCTATAATGTAAATTCCCCCAGTCTATGTCCAATCTTCTTCATTTTCGCATTGATCAAAGCATTTTGAAAATGTTCTTATTAAATCCTTCACTTTTTTTTCAGGAAACAATTACGAAAAGCATATGGGCATATAGGTTATGTCATAACAACACAACGTGTGATACTATGCATATAATGCTAATTAATAATAACATTTCAAGGAAAAGGCCATATAAAGGAAACAATATTTATAAACCATTCTAAAGTGTTTATGCAATTAATCTCATAAATACATTCATTCATTATATCTAAATATGACTGAAGAAAATTAACAAATGTATTCTAGAGAAACAATCTTGCATAAATTTACATTGATCAGTAAAATATTGTGTACAAAAGGAGTCTTTGGAGCCAAGTACATGTTAACAGATCATCGGAAATCTATTTCACTATTTGATTTTGTTTTATAATACTCCGCTCTTAATGAACTATCATGAATGCAGATAATTATAAGAACGAGGCGCTTATGTCGTATTCCCAACTATTTCACCTTACTTGTTAACTAAAATAAAGGTATTAAAAATTTAAATCACATTAAATTTTATAAGTAGTTTTCATTGTATTGATACAGTTATTATTGTTATTATTTCAGCTTTATTAAGATGATAAGTTCATTACCTTTCAAAAAGGGCTCTATAGCCATTCTTTTATTTTAGCGCCACCATTTTGGTCTTGCTTAGCAAACTCTGAAATGTGTGCTGGTACAATGCAGTCTCCTGTCAATATTGAAACAAACGATGTGGTCAAAAACAGCCATATAAGGCCGTTTTATTTCTCAGGACTTTGGAAAACAGCAGGAATAAAAATGGAGCTGAAAAATACTGGTCATGGAGGTATAAGGGTTTGGATGTGGGGTCTTCATTTATTTAATCTTAATTTTAGGGCTTTAAATTTTTCCTCTATTAAACATTTTTGTTTGTTCATTATTATCTATTCATAATTTAGCATTTCATTATTCTCTATTTTATTTAACTATTTTATTTAATTTATTTATATTTGGTTCATTCTCTTTATTCTTTAAGTTGGGACCACTATTTCTATTCTGTAAACTCTCACCAGACCCTCAGATATGTATACCTTGTTTTTACTATCAATCTATTTTCTCAAATAAAACGTGTTACATGATTTTGTTTTATATGTACAGACTTTATCTAAAGGTAGTCATAATCATATTGATCAATACAAACGATAAGTTAATCTGTCTTTATTATTCAAATTTGTATTTTTCGAACTATAGCTAGGTTAATAGTTGTGTATGATAACATTTCTTTATATCATTCTTTAAAATCATATATCATGTTTTTATTGTTTACATGTTATCTAATTTTATAGTATTTGTTTATTTTTTACAGTTAAAGTAGAGTTTCCTAATATTCAGCCAATAATTAAAGGTGGAGGTCTTCCTGGACCCCATAAACTTAAAGAGTTCCATTTCCATTGGGGAGGTAATAGTCAAAGAGGTTCAGAGCATACAATAAATGGACATCAGTTTGCTATGGAAGTAGGTATACAAAATTGGCCACGTTTCAAGTGATAGGTTTTGATTTCATTGAGGTACGTCTCATTCCTATTTTAATGAATACATACTGAAAATCTATCCCAAGTTTCTGGATTTACCTTCCACAGGAATGCTCAAAGCCGATTATTTGGTAAGATAACCTTGCGATTCAAAGATAAGAACCGAAACAGTTGAAGAGCTTGCTGACCAAAAAGGGCCTAAAAATAGCATAATTCGTCTACGGTCAAGTTTGCCTTCAAATCATTCACATTTCTTCCAAAGAATAAATCTAATTGTAAACGCTTGACAAAACAAAACGTTTTTGCTTGTTAAAAAGATATTTATGATCAAATATTGATCGTCTTAATTTATTGTATAACTTTATATTGTGTACAATTAAATCACATGTTTATTGAAAATTGTTTCGACTAGAAATAATATATGTAACAATACAATACCTATTATGACGAAATTGAAAAAAAAATTAAGTTAATCATAAATGTTGGAATGGAAATTAGACCAAAAACCATGTGTTTCTTTTTAAAGGTGTTCAAGATGTTATTCAGTTAAGATGCCAATGATTGAAAAAATCGATACAAGAAACAAATTCAAATCAGGCCAGTAGAACGATTGATCTTGATCTAAGAATATGTGAAACATAATTGATCAATATTTATGAATGAGATGATATAAGACATTGTAAAATTAATATTTGATATTTTGTTATAACTATTGTTCTGAGGAAGTTCAGTAATTCATTACAGGGTAATGAGGACTAACGCTGTAATCTGAGTAAAATGTAATACAGCAGTAGTGCAATGATGTTTTGTGTAATTGTCAAAACAAAGAAATATTTCTGAAATTCATTCAGCAGATACCTAGACGACAACATATTGAATTATCGAGTTATTATAGTCAAATATTCATCTCTCATATTTCAAATAACGTAATATTGTTCTAATCATTTAGAGACCTTGATCAAAAGGCTGGAACACGTTTTCAGACATCAAAACAGGAGTCCAGACATACTCGCCAAGCTCTTTACTTGTGTGTTTAATTACATCCGTATAGAATATTAACACAATTCACATTAAAATTCCATTTCCAAACTTTCATTATTTAGTTTAATTTAAGTGACGTGTTGTATAAAACAGCAAGTTTTTTTCTGCACAAGAACAAAATGAATGTAAACAATTGTCCACCTTTTGCTTTTTAGTTTTTTGTAAAGAGAAAAGGCAAAATGTAAATAAATCTAAAATATACAGGAAATAATTAAGTTGAATTTTGCAACATTTAGACTTTCCTAATTGGTACAAATGATATATAAAGTGTATAGATTCTTGATCTAAAAGTACTAGACACATAGACACAAAACTACAGCTAAGGAACATTTGTATTGCTGTTTTGTTTTTATCCAATAGTCAAAGTGATATCTTTAAAGGGGAATAAAAACCCGCATCTCCCTGCTAATAACCCGTCAAAGAGTCGTAAATGAAATGTTAGTGTAAATATAATACTCGGAAAGTGCTAACAGTTGGATTTTTAGTAAATCAAGTTGTCCTCTTACTAGGAATGCATGTTAATTTATTATAATTATAGCTGCATCTACTTATTTATTCTAGGCCCATTTTGTGTTTCTTCCAACAACAGATGGACCAAAACATTTTGCCGCAGTAATTGGAGTATTGATTTATGTAAGTCCATTTTCATTAATGTTTTCATAACTTTTTTATTAAAACTCACATGTATGCCTATCATACAAAGGAAAGAAAGCGAACTATTATATTCTACAATGAGGATGGATCTGAATCGGAAGTAAGAATTAAACTGAAAAAGGGGCCAGGCTGTGTACGGACAGAAATGACTTTTAAAAAAATGTCACCTTCATGCCCTAAAAGAATTACGTCAAGGGAACTTCGATGTGTAAAGAAATGGAAAATCGGAGTTTATATTCCTATTCCGACTTATGTGATTGTGGTTTTATACATTAAACTGACTGAAAAAACATAAAATATATTAATGTGGTTTGTTTTCAACAGTAACACAATATTCGCCTTAAAAGTTAACTTTTATAAGTGATAAACAAGAATAATTATTGTCGTTACAGGCTGGAAGTAACAATCAAAATTATGACCATATAGTTTCTAAGCTAAAAGAGGTAAAAAACATTGGTAAGTGAACATGAACTACATTAATTTTCAACTGTAACTACAGCCAAAGATTATGGTGAATTGACATTTATAGATCGTTTATTGTTTTATAAATTAGATTTGTTCTAAACAAGGGGGAGGAAAAGATACTTAGGGTATTCAAAACCATGTCGACGTAACAAAAACTATTCGATGGCCAATTAATTTGTAGACATCGTCCACAAGCCAGCAGATATTTACCAAGATTTACCACAGACATGAATAAATCACAAATGGAAATCGATCATTTCATTTTCCGAAGGAGGGGGAAGAAGGAGATTTTTTTGTGACGAAATATTCACTTTCTCCTTTAACGAGTCTAGATTATATTTTTGGTGGCGACTTAGTCGCGCGGAAATTTATTTTCACCAACTGTACATATCATTTTTACCTTTTGTTTGGTGAATATTCATTTTCGTCCTGTTTGGGGAAAGTCTATTTTTTTTAGATTTTAACATGCCAGAATATTCATTTAAATAAAAACTTTTTTACAGGTGACAAGGCAGTCCTGGACAACTTTCCAATCATGGATCTGTTCCCAGAAACCACTCGCTGTTGGTACCGATATTGTGGAAGTTTAACCACACCCCCATGTACAGAGACAGTTATATGGACTGTGTTTGAACAAAGAATTTATATGTCAGAAGACCAGGTAAATATAAATCGATATTTTAAATTCTTTAAACCAAAAAAAAAAAAACATGTGATCACATTATCCAGCTTCTATTTATTTTACTGCTTTTGAATAAAAGGAAATTCATCAATTTGTAATATCAATACATCTCTTACAGAGATATTATAGATACAAACACATTTTCTTCAAATGTGTACAAGCGAGGAGATATAAGATACTTTTAGATATTTTTGTCATTTGGTAATTATCTCTTTAACACATAGTACACTGTCACCTTTTATTCCGTAGTGAAATTGAGAATAATGAATATGTTCTATGATCAAGTTTAAAACTATACTTAACCTTCCGGAGCAAGTGATATTAACCCCATTTTTTTGTAACTAGACATCGATTGACCCAAAATAAAACGACATCAAGACGAAACAAAACAAGCAGCAAATTTACCAAATACAACACAGTAAAACACTTCTATAGACAACAATATAGGAATGGGACAGGTAAAACTGCGGATTACGTGTACACTCTAATTTGTATTCCTTAATAGATCAGTGAATTTCGGAAATTGATGGGAGAACCAGAAATTTTTACAGAAGGGGACAATAATATAGTGGATACATTTAGACCTGTACAGCCATTGTTACAGCGCAAGGTTTCACTAAGCTGCCCGCATAGGAGAAAGTACTATTATGAAAAATATCGTCGAAATGCAAACGAATACGGTTGCATCAATCATGGATATAGGAAACGAAAGTGCCATGATTGGTATTCTTATCATTCATCTGGATCCAATAGCTGTCTGTGGGTGGATTGGTACAGAAACCTATGAGTTAATGAAAGATAAACTACTAGAAAATGCAACATGATTACAATGTTGCATAGTTATAATTAAAATATCTCTAATACATATTCTGCTTTGTTGTTGTCTTCTGAATCATGAAGAATTGCCTGTTTGCCAACCACGGCTATTTTTAACTGCTAGTTCAAGGAGAGGTTTTGACAGGGTTTGCATCCAAACGATGACCAAAATATAAAGAATACAGAAAATGGGCGAATAAATAAAGGTGGCCAAAATATAAAAAGAAAATGATGGGCAAAAACTCAAAAATAGAGAACCATGCTCTAAAAGTTAAAGAAATGCAGAAAGCAAAAAAAAAAGGGGGGAACTACATCCAGACTCATCTAAAAATAAACGATAACTGTTTAACGTCAAGCCAGAAACAATTACAGGTAGCATATGCATATTCAGAAATATACCATTTCATTGTCAGATAAAAGTAACCTTCTTTGTACTACACATTATTACCCATGTCCGTCGGTCCAACTGTCCGTCCTTCCGTTCGTCCGTCCCATTATGGATATATAGTTATTCCAGATAACTTCTCCTACAGTTTGAATGCTAGGAAGTTTTCACTTTGCTGTCTGTTTGTACATATATTGAAAGTGTGCATGTGGTCAGGGTTTAGATATTTATTGATATTTGCTCTTTTTGGGAGATAGTTGAACTTTGTCATTTTTGGAGTATATACTTGCATAAGATGTGCAAAGCATTATATGTTATAATACAGTTACTTCTGAGTGGAGTGCGGGGGCATCACTTTGTCTAGTTTCTTAACATACAGAAAGATTCAATTGAATCTATTTCGTAAAATAAGCTATAAAAGCCCAATAAGACCGTACGTAAAGCATTTCAAAAGAGAAAATACAAAATGATTTGGATTATAAAACCACATAAAAATGAAAGAAAAACAAATATGGTAGACTGCAACTTACGGCAAGCACTTTATTACAATAGTCATCTAATTTCGACGAAACAATCAATGGTTCTATCATGCTATCTAACAAATCGTCTTAGACTTATTGTTGATATATTGCTGTATTCTGTCAATTGCTCTATTACATTCAAATCGAAAGAAGAAATACTATATTTATGAAATCCTAACTTCAATGTATCTTAGCTAATGTTTCCTTCGTGCATTGTATATCAAACTTCTTTCTTGTGTGTGGATTCGTTTTTATGGGTTTTCTCCACTTTATTTGAAATATTAAGTTTGCTTTGATAGTTTATATGTCAATAATATTGACCAGTGAAAAGACGAATAGAAATAGCATCGTTTAGTGTATCATTATTCCGATAAAGTCAAATTTATTTTTCATGTCTATCATTCCATATGTGCACTGCCTTACATGGAATAAAACATTGGAAACATATTATTTGTGTGACATCATTGACATGATAAAACGTATTTGAATTCTGCTGTGTTTTCGGGTTAAATCAATAGACCTTATTGCTATCTATTCTAATCCGGATTACAGTTCTGATAAAGTTCTGAAATTACACAAATTGTTCATTACGTCGCAAACCAGTAGAAGCTCACTTTGGGACCTATTAAAAAATGTATTGTGGGTACACGTTTTCAAAGAAACATGTTCAAACCATCATCAACACATGTCTATCATTCCATATGTGCACTGCCTTACCACTTCACACACTAAATATCACTTCAGACACTCATTCTCACTTCAGATACTCGTGATAAAAAAGGGTTCAGTTCATGATCAACTTAAATAATTATTTGTATTTTTATAATAAACAACAATATGATACAATTTTCATTTATTGTTCTAAAATTCAATCGAAATTTGCCACAAGCCATACATATAATGATCGGTTTTGGAAAACATATTGAACAATGCTAGCATACTGCTTGAAGGGCGTTCCGCCAGCCAAAAGATGAAAATGAACACGACTTAAAATACAGAAAGATTTGCACAATGATCTCCTTTATAATAGGGCCTCGGTAGTCGGGTGGTCTACCATGTCTACTTCCTTTATAAAAGGGCCTCAGTGGTCGAGTGGTCTACCATGTCTACTTCCTTTATAATAGGGCATCGGTGGTCGAGTGGTCTACCATAACTACTTCCTTTACAATAGGGCCTCGGTGGTCGAGTGGTCTATTATGTCTACTTCCTTTATAATAGGACCTCGGTGGTCGAGTGGTCTACCATGTCTACTTCATTTATAATAGGACCTCGGTGGTGGAGTGGTCTACCACATCTACTTCCTTTATAATAGGGCCTCGGTGGCCGAGAGGTCTACCATGTCTACGTAGTTCATCTTCAGTGATCACTAGACTATCGACACTGATGTTTTGAGTTAGAAGCTGGCTTTGCACTATGCGATTAACCCATATTTGAATTGATCAAAACTGATTAGAATTGCCACCAGTTTCCTGCTTTAGGTCGGTTGTATATTGGCAGTCTTGGCCGATAAAAGCGACTGCCATAATATGGCGACGTGTGTTACAAGTAGCGCTAAACACCAACAATTAATCAAATGATCTTTTATACATATCATAATAGATCAAAACTGCATGCCAGATACCGTTCTTTATCAGTGTTGACTCTTGTTGCTGTATCTATTCATATTACGTTATGAATCGATTACCTTAAAATGAAATGCATGTTTTAACAACATCTACATATCTAAGATCGCCCACAGTTTTTCAGTTGTTTTTCATGCCTTTTTTCAGTAGTACATCTGTCAATTCAAAAGTAAGAAGATGTGGTTTGATTGCCAATGAGACAATTCTTCACCAGAGACCAAATGACGATGAAGTTAACAACTAAAGGTCACCGTACAGCCTTCAACAATGAGCAAGACCCATACCCCATAGTTATATATTTGATTCTGTTATTATACACTTTTATAACAGGTTGTTTCCCTTTGCCGAGTGTACAACATTTTTGCACAAATATAGAAATCACATGGATAATATCAAGATATTTGAAGTCTGCTGTCATTTTTTGCTTAAGGACAATCAAATAACATAAAGAGTAGTTTATCAAACAAAATGTTAGTATTAGAGTGTTACTATTTAAAATTGATAAAAAAAAAGAATTGGCAATTGAGTTGATGATACCCTCGAGGATCAACAGTCCACTAGCAGTGGTATACCCAGTCCTATTAGATAAAAATAACACTATTAATTTCGTGCATCCAAAATTATTTTCTTTATTTACCTTCATCAGGAACGCTCCGACACAAACATTCAAAAGCCAAAGATGTATAAGACCTAAAAATATTAGGAGCTTTATAACCAAAAGGGTCCTAAAATAGCATAATCTATCTAAGGCTAACTTTGCCTGAAGGATTTAAAACATTATCTTCATAAAAATTCTCAATTTATCAATATATCTTAAACATGACCCTAATATTAATGTAAAAGTTTTGTCTTGTAAAACAAACTCGTAGCATTTAAACAAAGGTTTCTGTGAACAATGATATATAGTCATCGGGAAATTCAACGAAGTCGCAGACAGAGAGTTTGTGTTGGTATGGTTGATTCGTCTTTTTTTCAAGATTTGTTGGTAGTTCAAACATTATGATATAAAACATAGAAATCTAAATGATTTCCTGATAAGTTTTTAAAGGTAATAATTGTATTAATCAAACAAATAACAACTTATGATTACAAAAAACTAGACACAAAAATCTGAGCATCCTGTTACCATGTAGCTCTTCCACAAGATCTCTTACGGAATAAAACATTGGAAACATATTATTTGTGTGACATCATTGACATGAAAAGAATAATAATACAGGTATTCTGCTGTGTTTTGGGTTAAATCAATAGGCCTTATTGCTATTTATTCTAATCCGGATTAGAGTTTTGATAAAGTTCTAAAATTACACAAATTGCTCATTACGTCACAAACCAGTTGAAGCTAACTTTGGGCCCTGTTGAAAAATTGTATTGTGGGTACAAGTTTTCAAAGAAACATGTTTAAACCATCACATGCATCATAAACACATCATTCTTATGACTTTCATTTGTCTTTAAAACAATTGCTTCATAAACTATCAAGTTTTTATATGTTAACTTTTTCCGCCCTCAGCTCATTCATGTGTCATTTGTGGTGACCTTTATTTTTGCAACACTTGACAAAAAAAGGAAGTTGTCTAAGTTACTTCCATGTAACTGGCTTTTCCGCGTTGGACTAAGTAGAGATAAGGTGTATGAAGCCTCATTTGACATCGTATAGATTTTACAAGTTCATTTACAAAGAAAAAACACGGAAAGCAAATAATTTGATTATATTTTACATCATTAACATAACAATAGTTTATTCTAACTTAAATTTGACAAATACAGGTCTTTCGTGGTATTCTGCAGTATTTCTACCGACCCGACTTTTGTTTCTAATTTCTGTTTCACATGGGGACCGTCTTTACTGTTACATTAGCACTTCAAACACTCATGAATTGTCTGATAAAGATAAAATTTTTCTGTTCATGATCAAGTAAAATGCACAATAAATATAGATTCTTACATTGATACCAGTGGATTATCGGATTTATCCAATCGAGATAGTTAAATTATCAATTTTAAAGTCCGAGCCTCGGCGAGGACTTTAAAATTTATAATTTAACTATCGAGATTGGATAAATCCGATAATCCACGAGAATCTGTTTCTCTAACATGTTTAATGATTAAGAAATAAATTTTCTTTTTTTGTTAAACGAAAAAACCCTCCGAGTACCTTCCACATTCCACGAAGTTGTCAATTTCGTTAACACCTAGCATATTTTGATTCATCCAGTTAGCTAAAAAGGTTATGACCTTAAAATCATCCAATCATCTTTTGAGATCACCGGCAACCACACGTTGATTAAATTTTTTTACACAATGGGTTCGGAAAGGGATAAAATTCCATAGAATTAGAGAAAAATTATTATAATACCATTTGTATTAATATATGATAAAATCTGAATACCAACTGAACGTAAAGATAATTAAAATGTGTTTTAAAATACATATGAAATCTACAACAAGCGATACATGAAATGAAAGGGTTTGGAAAACACATTAAACAATGCTAGAAAAATGCTTGAAGGGCAGTCCAAC